TAGTAGTAGTAGTGGCAGAAGCAGTAGTAGTAGTAGTAGTAGTAGTAGTAGTAGTAGTAGTTTTAGTAGTAGTAGTAGTAGTAGAAGTAGTAGTAGCAGCAGTAGCAGTAGTAGTAGTAGGAGTGGTAGGAGCAGTAGGAGTAGTAGTAGTAGTAGTAGTAGTAGTAGTAGTAGTAGTAGTTAGTAGTAGTAGTAGTAGTAGTAGTAGTAGTAGTAGTAGTACTAGTAGTACTAGTAGAAATATCAATAAGATTAATAATACTAATAATAATAGTAGTAGTATTAACGGCGATAATAATAGTACTAGCAGATGTTATTAATAGTACTAGCAGATGTAGTAGTAGGTGTAGCAGCAGGAGCAGCAGGAGCAGCAGTAGCAGCGGCAATATCAGCAGTGGTAGGACTAGTCCATAATAGGATCAACAAGTAGTACAATTAGTACAAGTACTATTCGTAGTACTAGTAGTACTTGTAGTAGTAGTCGTCGTCGTAGTACGACGTCGAAGCTGCACTGATGAATAGAAAGTTTCAGCCTAGCCCGCAAGCACCTCGCAGGAGCGCGAAGCCCATCGCCAAGCGAAGAGGCGTCAGCAGAAGAAGCTACTGCGAGAGGAGCAGGTGGAACTGTTGCTAGCTTGGTGCAAATTGAATGTTTGGTTCTCACCCGGCACGGTTGTGAAAGCATCTCCAGCTTCCTTCTGAGTGCCACATACCTTAATCTTTGGCTTGTCTGAAGCATTTGGACACACTAGATGAACAAGATAGGAACTATGAACCGAGACGGGGATTCAATCCGGAAGAGTATCACTACAAGGAAATGACAAAGTCCAGATTCATTCTGAGGCCCGACAGGAGCGTTGGTTGCCCTAGTTGTCAAACAGGACCAGAGGCGACGGCGCCATCGTGACCGTGGCGCGGCCCTTCTCGAAGAGGTCCGATGGTGAAGTTCTGACTAAGGTAAAACCCGCACTGTATCCTTAGGCAGATCGGCCGTAATAGGCAGTAGCTAGTCAGTAGTCGTCGGCGTCGTGGTGGTAGTAGTAGTCGAAGCCCTGAACCCGAAGCCGAAACCTGTAACCCCCTCCCTGAACCCCTGCTATCGCTCAAACCCTAAACTCCATAAGCCCTAAACCCAATAAGCCCTAGACCCTTAAGACTTATAAGACCCTAAACCCTAAACCCTTCTAGCCTTAAGCCCTTAACCTTAGACCCTCAACTCCTCCCCTTAAACTCCCTGAACCTGCAATGTGGGTTCGTCCTTGCTAGGTGGGAGGGAAAAATCTCCCTAAATTCGACCCTAAACGCGAACCCTTTTTAACCCTAAGCCCTAAACCCTTAAGACCCTAAAACCCCTAATCCCTTTGGCCCTGAACCCTTAACCCCAAACCCCAAACCCAACTCCCTAAACCCCAAACCCCTAAACCCTGAATCCTGAACCTTAAACCCTAAACCCTAAACCCTGAACCTTAAACCCTAAACCCTGAAACCTTAAACCCTAAACCCTGAACCCTAAACCCTAAACCCTCAAACAGGGAGCCTCTGCAGCGAGCTCATCTCGGCTCTCCGCGTCCGCTTCGAGTCCATCGCTCTCAGGGTGCGCCTTTGGGAGGGAGGGTTTAGGGTTTAGGGTTTAGGGTTTAGGGTTTAGGGTTTAGGGTTTAGGGTTTAGGGTTTAGGGAGGAGTTTTCGGGATTTGCGGTTTAGGGGTTTAGGGTTTTGGGGTCTTTAAGGCTTCGGGGTTTTCGGAATTTGGGTTGGGTTTAGGATTTTGGGGTCTTTAAGGCTTAGGGGTTTTCGGAATTTGGGTTGGGTTTAGGATTTTGGGTTTTCAGGCCCAGAGGTTTCGGAATGTGGGGTTTAGGGTTCAGGGTTTGAGGGTTTCAAGGTTTGCCGTTAAGGCTATAAATGCTTTAGAACTTTGGGTTTTCGGACTTTTGGGAATCTGGGGTTTAGGGTTTCAGGATCAGATTAAGTTGTGATTGTACAGTTTTATTCTTTGCATTGGGGAAGTCAGTGTTCAGGCGATTGCACAAGTCCTGATGCAAAAAAGGGTTAGAAGTTTGGGCTATAGGGTTTACGGCTCAGGGTTTGGGCAAGCGGTTCCGGGATGAGGGAAGAGGGAGGGGGGGGTTCTTGGATTTAGGATCGTACGATTTATGACTTTAGCTGCTCTTAGCTCTGCCATGACCACGATATGGGTAGTTCTCTAAAATAGGGTCCCTTTTTGGGTCCCAAATATAGCGCGGCACCCTTATAAAAAAAAGGACCCTAAAAAGGAATCCTAATTTAGAGAACTACCCATATACCAGAGGGTATATCGAAGATCAGAGCGTCTGCTTCGACCTTAGGGCCTTAGGGCCGGAAAAAAGCGTCCCGGAAGAGGTAAGTCGATCATGTTCTGGGGTTCCCTTTCTTTACCACATTGTACCCTCCCAGCACCCTATTCAAAAAATATGGCCAAGGCGTCTTTATTTATGGGGTAGACCGGTCTCCCGAGACGCTCGAGTTCGAGCGGTGTGAGTGGCAGGCTGCACTCGGATTTGGACTTCAAGTTGATACATAGAGACGTAGCGTCGGAAGGATTTCGGAGGTGTCCTGTTCAGCTGCAGGTGGGGCAGGTTGGTCTGCTTTCGGCTACTCTGCAGACCTGAACAAGCGGATGCCAGGACCAGCAGTTCCAGCAAAGATCATGAACCGGCAGTTCCAGAAGACCTGAACCTTGCTCTTGCACTTCAACCGGTCTGGCTCAGGTCTAGTATAGGGATCTGAGACTGACAAATAGTGAGACCCTTTATCCTAGAGATTGTCAAGGCCTCGGCAGTATCCTTGAAGTGTGTCATCGCATTGAGGCTGCAACGGTTGATGGTTTCAGGTTTAGAGTTCGGGATTCTTTCGCACTGAGACCCTTAATGTTCAGGCCGTTCTGCTCAGGGTGGTCTTGGAAAAGTGGCCTGCGAAAGGTCTCGTCCTGGTTACAGCTAGAAACCCTGAGCTGCCCTAGTCATTCAGCGCCAGGCCCCTTTCCATCGACTGCCAGCAGAGATTGTCCGCACGTGAAGTTTTCTAAGTTGTTTTTTGGTGTCCTTTTTACAAGTAAATAGCAGTAGTACTGGTAGCAGTAGTAGTAACACAAGGAATAGTATTGGTAATAGTAAGGAGTCAAAAACCGAAGATCTCGAGTTCCCAGGAAGGGCTTGTCCAACTTCCCGCTGGTGGAAGATCTGCTCATCAAGATTCGCGTGCCGTCATCTGCATTACGGATGCCTAAAACCATTCTTCCCCGAACCCACGCATTGCCACGAAAGAACCGAATGCATGAGGATGACAGACCCAAGCCAGTCAAATATATGTGTGCGTGTGTGTATATATATATATATATATTTTTTTTTCATATGTATGTATATGTATATGTATATGTATATGTATATGTATATGTATATGTATATGTATATGTATATGTTTGTGTGTATATGTATACGTATATGTGTATATGTATATGTATAT